GCTCGGTGCTCGGGCACCCAGTTGCACTGCGCTCGGTGCTCGGTTGCTAGTATCGAGGCACGCAAGTCATTGGCCGCAGGAGAATGGTCGCAAAAACGTGCGAGCGGAGTTTGCGATGGAATCAGTCATCCTTCTCGAGGATGACTGATTGAGTTGTTCAAGGCGGCGGCGAAAAAATTGGGTGTCAAGGGGTGAATAATAACAGTCCTCCGTATCGACGACAGCTTTCCTGCATGAATCCGAATAGTCGTCAGCTACAATATCCGTCAGAGCAACCGTAAGAGAAGCAAGCGTACATGTTCTGCTTTGCGTGGGTGAGAACTGTGGCTCCGATCCTGTTTGCTAGGGCAGTGAACACGATGTTTTCGGACAAGTCCATTAGCCCGTCGCTTCATCCGTGTGACCGGCGCTCCATCGTCGGCTTGACCAGTCATTGTTTCTTCCGGTTGCCATCGTTTCTTCCGGTTGCCATCCTCTTGGCTGCATTTGGTAGGAACATTTCCTATGAGTCCCAATCTATCTTTTTTCGACATTACTACCTGTCTGGCAATCGACTCGGTCCAATGTCTTGAAACACAAATTTCGACTCGGTACCACAGATGCGATTGTCCCCGACATGCCGGGCTGGGAAATGGCTTCGCATCCGGTAGCAGCCCTAACGTCAGTACCGGCCTTAGTCTTTTTCTGATTCACTTCCAAACCTGTTTGTGGTGACCCGGCCACGTGGTCCACCACTACTAATGCTCATTCGCATCTGAAGCATACCGGTCATATCTTCGTCCACGCATGAACGGTCCTCTCGCCATCTGATTCGTTATCTTGTTGATCGTTAACATGTCCTACGTATTTCTTTCTGCGCTCCAAATAAACACCCCTCCTCCCACAAAAAGGGAAGACAGAACGCGCTTTCGCACGACAATACAGAGGCAGTCCGTACGGATGCACCAGTCCGCACGGATGCACCAGTCCGCACGGATGCACCAGTCCGCACGGATGCACCAGTCCGCACGGATGCACCAGTCCGCACGGATGCACCAGTCCGCGTAAACGACCTCAAATAAAAGGGTGTTTTATTGGCCTCAAGCACCCTGCACCACAGCCATGAATTTTGTGTCGTTGTCGTACGAGTGCAGTGGAGTGTTTCGACAGCCTTCTTGGATCCGAATGGCGATCAACAAGAGTCCCCGTAACAACAATATTGCCCTTCCCGTCGTCCACCTGGCATTGTAAGATTGACACGGTACAATTGCAGTTGGGCGTTCTGGCCGCAAACTTGTCCAGTGTGCAGTCACCGATACATCCCGTGGAGCAATTGTCATCCAACGCAAGCTCCTTCAGCTCTTGTTGAAAAAGGTCCAGGGCTTCTCCACCGCACTGGATCGCACACTCATCGGGTTTTAGGTACCGCTCGATGGCTTCGCCGACCGCGGTGAAGCCGAACTTGGTGGGGATGCCAAAGGAGTGACAAGAATAACGATTCTCCTTGTCCCGCCAGGCGCAAACCAATCGGCCACCTTGGCTTCGGCACACAGTTGGTCGTAACCAATCCATCCTGCTCACCGGTTGCAGGTACTGTACCGAGGCATTGAAGGCACGCTCGCAAACGTCCTCCGCTGTTCGCAACGAGGCCAGTGTTGACTCGGTAATTGCGTCGACAAAGGTCGTCTTCTGGGGATGTGTCTGGTCAAATTTTGGACGCAACAAAACTGTGTCATCCTGGAAGCGGCCCCGCCACAACAAGCAGCCTGTCAGTACACTACCCAGGACAACACCGCCCACAGCAAAGCTCACGCCCAACTTTTTCCTCCACGGCCAGGTGTGCGCTTGCTCGCGAACAGGAGAACTATCGTCCGATAAAATCGACTTGTTGATGACGGGCACCCAGTCGGACTGCACTTGCGGTAAGAGCTCGTCCCGCTCCGTCGGCGTCAATAACCTGGCACACAACACTTCCAACTCCTTGGTGTCTTCGGTAGCGTCTCCGACGTCTACAACATGCTCATCTGGTAGCCCCTGCTTTAATACCTCTAGCCACACCCGACCACCTTCAGTTGAATCTGCGCCTTCTAGGTGCTTCCTAAGTGCGTCTGCAAACATGCATTGGGAGGTGTATCTGGAGGCGTCAGCTGACTCGGATGATTCGACCGCAGGCCGACAAACGAGCATTCTCCTTGCCCATTCGAAGAGCCCGTCGAGCTCCAAAGGGCACCCCTCCTCCATGGAGTACTTCCGCGTCAAACGGTCCCCGAGACGGCCCAGAACTAACACCTGCGTAACTTCCTCTCCTCCACCACCTACCGACACCATTCGAGCTATGCACCCATCCTCAGTAATGGGCGGCCTGCCTCCAGTCGACTCCACGAGCATGGCAACAGTTTCAGCCCACCTCCTCGTGATGCTCAAGCTCGAGCACACAACTGTCTTCATAAAAAAAAACTGTTGGAGCGAGCAGGCCATGAAACCACCATCTCAAAAAAAAACCGCCCAATATGTGTGTGAGGTCACCCAACGGACGTTGGAACGGTCGTAACGAGACACTCTGATCTCGCCGCGTCCACACACGAGTTTAGTGAGAAGTTCTTGATAGGTCGTTGTGAGAGATTGTCTTGGTGACAACTTGCGCTTGTGGTCAACGCCACATCCTAACAAGAGCGAATCCACGCCATTTCTGACGGTGCGGTTCGAATCCACGCGGCGTCTATCCACGCGGCGTTTACCTTGAACTCTGGACGCGCGGCATCCTTGCCTCCCACTCGCTTTTAGCCTCAGCCACGTCGCTTAGGAGCTCGTCGGGGGGCATGAAGTTCCGATTCCCACGGCCGATTTCCCGAATGGTCACCGTTTTCGCCAACACTGCGACAGCTTGCCTAGCTGCATCTCGTCCAGCGGCAGCCGCCTCCTGAACCTCACCAGCCACGTCCAGAGCTACCAGGTCCCCACCAGTCACGCCAACCACGTCACCACCAGCCGCAGTCAACTCCCGAGCCACGTGCTCGCCAGTCAGGTCTCGTTCCCTCACGTGGTTGTGGTCGAGGCGTATGATTCGCTTGAGGGGTTGGGCAAATTCCCGTCGCAGGGACTCGAGCCACCGCTCTACAGCTTTCTCCTCGCGGTGCAGGCCCACGAAATCTTCGGCGACTCCCTGCAGGCAAGCAGGGTCCAATTGGTCCAGAGCGAGTCCAAGTTGACTCGCACTGACGGTGAGCAAGGTACGGAAGAAGTCGGCAGCGCTGCCAGGGTCATCGCTGAGGTCGAGGGCGAGCAACTCGTCTTCATCCACGGAGTCGATCATGAACGAAAGTGCGTTCGCTGCAATCCACGCCGGCGGCGGTGCTGGCTCGCCCAACGCATCCAGCGCGGGGTTGGCCGCGAGGTAGTGCAGGTACACTCGGTGTCCCGAGTACGACCCCAACTCGTTTACGTGCGACTCACTCACGTGCGACGCACGTACCTGTGTCGGGTCCAGCAGCACGCACCCCCACCCGGCATCTTCCAACTCCCTGAGACGCATCCGGAAGAACCGTGTGCCATACCGATACGCCGTTTGTAGGGCTGCCAACTCAGCCGGCTCCACTTCCACCAACTCGAAACAACATGCCAGCAATTCCGGGCACCATGGACGTCTTCGCGCACACGCTGCCCCGCGCATCGAAAAATTCCTTGTCCCGAAATCCCGCAAATGTATTCCAGCTGGGCACTGCAAGCCAGCCCCTGATTTACAACCGTACATTCCGGACTGCGTTAATTTCGTGTTAGACCTGACGAACGCATGCATCTGGTATCCTGTCCTCCCACTCCTTCTTGGCCTCAGCCACATCCTCCAGGAGCTCTGGAGAAAGTTCGCTAAAGCTCCGAGTGCCGCGACAGATCTCCCGTATGGTCGCCATTTGTGCCAGCACAGCGACCGCTTGAGCAGTTGCGTCTTGTGAAGCCGTTGCCGTCTCTTTAACCAGGTTCGTAGTCGTTACATACTCGGAACTCACATCCTCGCTAGTTGAGTTATTCCGATTGAGGCATACGAGTCGCTTGCCAGGTTGTGCGAATTCCCGCCGCAGTGAATCCATCCAGCGGTGTGCAGCTTCCTCCTGGCGGTGCGCGGCGACGAAAACTTCGCTGGCTTTCTGGAGGCAACCCGGATCCAGTTGATCCAGCGTCAGGCCCAGTTGGCCCGCGCTGACCGTTAATAGGGCGCGGAAAAAAGAGGCAGCGCTGGCAGGGTCGCCGCTGAAATCGAGCGGGATGAGCGACCCGCGTTCATCCGCAGAGTGGATAATGAACGAAATCGCGTTCGCTGCAATCCACGCCGGCGGCGGTGTTGGCTCACCTAGGGCATGGATCGCGGTCTTGGTCGTGATGTAGTGCAGGCACACGCGACGACCCGAGTGCGGCCCCGACTCCGACTCACCCACCTGCGACTCACCCACCTGCGACTCACCCAGCTGCGACTCACTCACGTGCAACGCACGCACCTGAGTCGGGTCCAGCTGCACGCACCCCCACCCGGCATCTTCCACCTCCCGGAGCCGCATCCGGAAGAACCGTGTGCCATACCGATACGCCGTTTGCAACTCTGCCAACTCAGCCGGCTCCACTTCCACCAACTCGAAACAACACGCCAGCAATTCCAGGCACCGCCGACGTCTTCGCGCACACGCTGCCCCGCGCATCGAAAAATTCGGCCCCGAAATTCAGCACTGGCAGGAGGCCCGAAGACGGCCCCAAGGTACCGGCGATGCCCGCCCGACTGTTCGACGCCGGGTCGGCCACTCGTACCGCAGGTGACTGTTCGTACCACCGGTCGTACCGCAAATCTCTAGCGAGAGCGTTCTGTAAGTCTCCAGTTGTACTTGCGGGCTGTCTGCCGCCTGTATTCGTCACGCATGATTTCTTCCTCGTAGCTTACCAAGAAAGGTGCTGTAAGATGTTCAGGCCAGCGGTCAAGCATTTCTTCAGCGGCGTGAATCGCAAGGTCGGGAATTTCACCCGGTTGTCGACCGACCTCGTTCGCACTCAACTCGACCATGGCACGGACAAAATCCTGTATCTCACGCGGCAGTGACGTCGGATTGGCGGAGGTGACTACTGCAACTGCGCCTGACGTCGCCACTGCGCCTGACGTGTCGACTGGGGCTGGTGTTGTGGGGTCCAAAGTCATCCAGACGGAGTTGGCCGCGATCCAGCGCAGGTCTCGACATAAGCTCGATTCGAACTCGGGGTTAATGGCAAACCGGAGCAAAACGTTGCTGAACGGGGACTCCGTACTGTGCTCCATCTGCGCCGGCCGAACCAGAGGTGAACCCTCCCCGAATAATACCGCGTCCTCCATCTCCATCCAGAACTTTTGCGCCCCCTCTGTACTCGCCAACCGAACAACCCCACTGTCCTCCATTTGGAAACACCCAGCCACATAACCGCTCGACAACCCCGTGCGCCTGGCGCTGGAAACCGAGCTCAACATAAAATTCGTTGCCCGGGTCGAAATTCACTATTTTTTATCCTTGATTACGCAAAAATAACCGGCAGCGTTTTACACGTGACGGTTCGAATCGGCCCGATGACATTCTTAAGTATTAAATTAATCCGCACGGTACAACCACGAGTTCGGCGAGCGCATCCTCCGCTGCCACTCGAGCTTTGCCCGGGCCACATCCTTGAGGAGCTGGTCGTAGTCGAGGAAGTTGAGGCTACCACGACCGACTTCCCTGAGGATCGGTGTCTGCGCCAATACAGCTGCCTCTTGCCTCGCGACGTCTGCTCCCGCAGCAGCCGTTTCCTGCCCAGCTGTGTCTTCCGCACCGGCAGCCGTCGCCTCTTGCGTCACATCTTGTCCCGCTAGGTCTGGACGGTTGGTGGGGTCTTGGTTCGGCAGCCATGTGAGGATTTGGTCGTGTGCAAAATTGCGGTCAAGGCGAATAAGTCGTCTGCGCGGTTGTTCGAATTCCTGGCGCAGGGCCTCGAGCCAGCGTTCGACGGATTCCTCGCCTCGGTAGAGTTCGACGAAGTCTTCGGCGACTTTGAGAAAACAGCCGGGGTCGAGTTGGTCGAGGGACAGTCCAAGTTGACTGGCATTCACGCTCATTAATGTCCGGAAGAACCTTCCGACGCTAGCTCGGCCGTCGCTGAGATCGGGAACTTGCGGGCCGCCCATGGCCACGGTGTCCGCCAAGAAGTAGATCCCGTGGGCCGCGATCCAGGGAGTGGTAGGAGTAATCCCGCCTAGACTATCCAATGCCGCCTTACACGCCAAATAGTTCAAGTGAACACGCATCCCGTCGTCGTTCATTCCCGGACGCAACTCAACTTGTACACATCCCCATTCCGCGTCCTCCGGACTCGCTGACTGCATACGGAAGAACCGAGTACCCAACCGGTACGCCGTTCGTAAGCCCATTAACTCCTCATGGTCCACCTCCACCAGTTGGAAACAACATGCCATCTTCACCAAACCTGGGCGCAAGCCCCGTCGCCTCGCAGCCACTGCCCCGACCATAAAATTTTTGCTCCGGGAGTGTGTGGGGGAGGTGAGTCGTGCGTGTGACGGTCATGCAGGCGTAGGTGACGCCTGGGGGCGAAGGCCTACAATTGCCAGGAGTTAGCAACAAGGCGCCTGTGGGGCCGCGGGGCATGATCGGTGGGTGTGATACTGTGAGCCGGGATAGCGGACGAACACAGTTCCCACCGAACAAGAGACGTTGATGACAGGCGCGTATGTCTCACGCGAATCACTGTGTTCGAGTAGAATGCGCGTCCAGACTGTGCGCAGTCAAGAGGGAGAGGGGTGCGGGTGAAGAGGAGTCAAAAGGACCGGAGCGAAAGAACCGATGGCCTCTAGTCATCGCGAGGATGGAGCCCCTCGTAGTTGGTGCTGTCGGACCCGAGACGGTGGACAAACAATGTGTGCGTGCCGCAAGAGCAGGCGGTCATGAGCTGCTGCGTGAGAAAAACAGCAGAGTAGGGGACGTGCACGGGCCGTGAGACTGTTAAAAATGAGAGTGTTAGGTGTCTGTCGGGGCCTATTTATTTTCGATGAAGAGTGTGGTGTGCGTGAGTGGCGGTGTGTGTGTACAGACGACGATTGCGGGCTGTTTCTCGTTCGCGGGGAAGGAGCCGACGAAGCAGATGGCCGGGTGGCGGCACCATCTTCGGCATTTCGCATGGGGCCCGGCGGAATCGCGTTTCCGCGTGGACTACGCGTGGCCTGAGTGGATTCGGGAGCGCAGCGGTGTCGCTTATGTGGCCAAGTGGGGTTGTGAGTTCGAGATACGACCGGAAAGTCCCGCGTTCGACACTCACGAACTGCGCAAACTCGTCGAACTACTCCTCACATACGGCCTACCGCGTAACATGGACCTAGTCGACATTCCAAGACCAGTCGTCATGCAAGTCGTGTACGCAATGCTACGGCCCTGCTCCGACTACGCTGAGGTCCGGACTTTTATCCGCCATTTCGCCGAGGAACTCTCCGACCGCTCACAAATCCATGCTGTCACCGGCAGAGGCGATGTCCTCTAGTCTTTTTGACCATCTGGTCTTTTTCACGTTATAACTTCGGTAGCATCGCCCGCCGCTGTACGTCAAATCCGAATCCCTCCGGCCGTCACAAGCCCGAATCATTCATTGGTGGGGAGTCCATGTCTGATACATCTACGTCCAAAAAAAATATGATTGGGCCAGTGGCGAAGCAGAGGTGCAGAAGCGGGTCAGTGGCGATTGGCAGTTGTTTCTGGTTCGAGAATAGCGTGGTGGGAGCTGAAGGTTTTACTGGGTCAGTGGGACGAGTGGTGCGTGCGGATTATGGTGATGCTTTGCGGTTTACGATTGCGGCAGACGGTTGGAGTGTGGAATGGCCGGTAGTGCGATCGTTGGATTCGAACGGTGGTTTGGAGGTTTCAAGTTTGAATGGTGCCGGTGAGGACATTGTATTACGGTATGCCGTTCCGGCCGAGTGCATCTCGTTGCCTCATGTGGCGGAGGGGTTCTGGCCGCATCTGAACGATCTGACCTGGATAGCAAGAAATGGTCGATGGTTCCAAATTCAGATGGCACACGGTGAGACACCTGACCTTGTCAATGGCGCCCTGGGTAAACTTATCAAGGATATGATTTTGTTGAATGTCGATCAATTACATCTCCGTCCCGTACAAGTCGGTGTCGAACAGGTCATGGCCGTCGCCCGAGAGTTCCTCGAACTCTACCTCGACCAACCTAACGTCAAAGCCTGGCTGGATGACTATCAATTCGAACTACTTGACCAACTCATTTGGGCCAATCTCGAGCTACCCAAACCAGCCGACGGTCGGTCTCCCAATGACCCCCAAATCCTCACCGACCCCCAAACTCACACCGACCCCCAAACTCACACCGACCCCCAAACTCACAAATTACTCACTGACGACAAATTACTCACCGACGCCCCAGAGACTGACAATCAATCCACCGTCACAGCGGCTGAACAGCACCTCGCCTCGGCCGAGGTTCTGCCGGCTTTGGAGTCACGAGTCCTACCCCGGCAGTTCACTGAGGAGAGACACATCAGAGAAGAGTCTACAAGAGGCTACCTGCACGCAGAAAAGTTCGTTCCAGAACAGTTTGTAGACCGCGCCGCGGAACAACTGATACAGGAGGTCGTTGAACAACTGCAGCACACTGACTTACTTCTGGAGCAACACGGAAGTGGGGCTGCAGAAAGACTCATACAAGAGGTTGTCGCAGAACTTCGACACACAGATCGGCTCATAGAACGCCCCCGAAGTTGGCAGGCTGCAGAGCAACAGCCGGAGCCACTGACAGGACCTTTCATCGAAACATGCGAAAAAAACCGGGAACTGGCACCTGACGCTATTCTAGAGGAGGAGGAGGAGGAGGAAGAGGACAGCGACCTACTTTTCTGATCTTATTTCTTCTGCCAAGCATGTGGTGTTCAGTTTAACATGTGCCTGGGTGGAACTGGACGGGTTCTTGTGGATGGCGTGCGAAGCACACTTGCATTTCTGGTTTAACCAGATTTTACTCCACTAGTAATTGTCGCCGCGTGCGGTCACCTGCGAGGTCGGACGTTCCCTTGTGGCTGGCAACGCTAGTGATTTTCTTATCAAAATTTTTCCCTTTTAAATCTTACAGCCACCCGGAGACGCGCTCTGACAATTCAGGTTTCATGGAAAGGACTTCGGAACGAACATCGATGCGAAGAGCACCGTGTGTGAGGCGTGTAGTTTTTTTTTTCAAATGCCGCCGGAGCGTTTGTCGCCGGAGCGTTTGCCGCCGGAGCGTTTGTCGAGAGTGTGCGTGTGTGAGGGCGTTTTTAAACTCGAGCGTGTGTGCGTGCGTGGGTGTTTGGGCGCTGGCGGGGACCGCAGCGGCGGGAGGGTGTAGGGGTGGGCAGATAACAATAAGAAAAAGATGCTTAGTCCGGTGGCAGTTGGAGGTCGCAGTTGGGTGTCAGTGGCGGTGGTGCTGGGGTCTTGTTTCCGGTTCGAGACGGCGGAGGAGGCGATGCGGCGGGCGGATTCGAACGTGCGGCTTGTGGGTTGGTGGAGTTCGAATCCAGAGGCGGAGCGGCGGGTTTTGCGAAGTGAGTGGGAAAGTGCGTTGCTGTTTACAGTGAACTCGACGGGGCCAAATGTGTGTCTGCCGGCTGTCCGATGCGCGGTGCGGCATGAGACGCTGGAGATGGAGCCGATGGCGCTTGACGCACTGGCGACCGACGCGTTAGGGACGGGGGTGCGATTGCGATATCGAGTGCCACAAGCGGAAGTTCCAATGGGTGCCCACGGCTTCTGGCCGCATCTTCATGACTGGGCCTGGATTGCGCGACACGGTCGATGGTTCGAACTACAGACTACCGACGGTTCCGTTCCCGACCTGCAAGGCAAACTCGGCAAACTTGTCAAAGACATCATCTTCCTCAACGCTGAACCACTACACCTCCGCCCCTCCCAGTGCGGTATCGACCTCGTACTCGGCGTGGCGCGAGAGATGCTCGCACTATATCTCCAACACGACACTGTGCAGGCCTGGCTTCATGACTACGAATATGATCTCATGGAAGATCTCATCTGGGCCAGCCTCTGCCACCCGCCTCAAACCGGCACCGACGCCCCAGCAGACACCGACTCCCAGGACGAGAAATCAAACACGGACCGCCCTTCGGACAAGGACACCCCGCCCCCCCGTTCCCTGCCGCGTTGGTCGCTCACGGAAGAGCTGGTCGCGCTCCTAAACCGCAATCGCTCGCCCTTGCAGTTGCTGGAGGAATTATTCGACTTGGGTCTGGAGATGCAAGACGCTTTGGAAGTCGCACTCATCGCGGTGCAAAAGGGCGCCGCGGAGACCATTGAGCTACTCCGGAAACGCGACAGTGGCCGCTGGTGTGTGGAAGACATCTCGGACTACTCAGCCCGGAATACGGCCGAAGGCCCCCACAGTCCGGAACCCCTCAATCCGGAACCCCTCAATCCGGCACCCCTCAATCCCGTACCCCTCAATCCCGTACCCTGCCGTCCGGCCCCTTACCGTCCGGCCTCTTACCGTCCCGCTTCCTACCCCTGCGTTCGTGGTTTCTATTTCCACGGTCTGTATTACCCCCACCATATCCCCGTCGTCGACCCCCATGATTCCCCGAGTCGTGGCCCCGACCTCCCCTGTCGTGGTCCCGATCTCGCTAGTCGTGGTCCGGATCTCCCTAGTCGTGGTTCCGACCTCCCTGGTCGTGGTTCCGACCTCCCTGGTCGTGGTCACGGTCCCGACGTCCCCAGCCGTGCTCCCGGCCTCCCTAGCCGTGGTCCCGACCTCCCTGGTCATGGTCCCGGTCCCGACCTCCCTAGCCGTGGTCCCGCCCTCTCTAGTTGTGGTCCTAGTCCCAACCTCCCTAGTCGTGGTCCCGGTCCCGACCTCGCCAGTCGCGG